TCAGAAAAGAGAAATGTGAGACAGGAGGAGGGAGTAACGCCTGAGGGAATCCCTGTGTCACACACCCAAAATAAATCCACACAGAGCACGCCTTCCAATACCCACACCACTACGCCCAACAAAGCCCTACAGTCTAAACTATTGTTCATGCAGAACACCAAACCTGAAGGGTAACTTTTAACATGTGTCAGCAATCTCCGTATAAACAGTAGCAGGTCACCTACAGAACCAAGTGCCTCTCCATAGGTCTCTACATTCTCAGTCCTCCACCTACAACTACAGATCTTTGTACTCATGCAATTTTCTGTATCTCCTATAAAAATCAATACATTTTCCACTGCTGCAAGGTTAACTAAAAAGAGAGAGAGAGAGGGGGAAAAAAAGGTTATAAAAGAGGAAACAGCCCACTGCTCCCAGGCTCAGCACATGGGATCTTTTCACAAATCTACATCTGGAAATCTCAGAATGTCAGTTCACATAAACTGGCACATAGTGACAGAGGTAAGTAATATTAAAGTGCATTAAGAGAGAAGTGTGGCCAAAGCTTTTGTGGTCATACATTTCTTCTGAGTCACAGGACTGCACTCATTTCTATCCTCCTGTGACCCACATTCAACCGACAGTGGACTAAAAGGCCACTGTCAGCTGACATCACAGAGCAGGTTCAGGCTCTGGAAGGATCCCGACTTTAAGGTCGGGATTCACCCAGATGCCTGACTGGCAGCGGGCTCAGCATCTCAGCATGCTTCTGAAAACCTGTGCCAGCCGCTCCCACTGACTGCAGGCAGGAGAGAGCTCTCAACAACACCTGGCATGCCTGAGAACTATGACTTCACCCATAGGCTTACTATGGCCCATCTGTTGTCGGCGCTCCCTTTGCTCCCCTGAAGCGGTCGCTAGCTGACAGAGGGAAGCTGGATCACGTCACTGGATCACGTCACTGGATCGGAATGGCCTGACAACAGTTCTTCACAAATCCTGTAGTTGATTACTTTTAATAAAAAGGATATTTACCTGTCCAGGGATCCAGCACCGTCCTCACCCGGGCTAGTTGTTCACTAGTCTTCGGGTTCCTGGCATCGGCATCTCTAGTGTGAGAAGTTGTCTGTGACAATTTGCAACTTCACAGCTGGCTGCCTATTGGACCTGTACAACCTGTGCTGCACTTTGTAAATGGTCCCGCAGCCTTCTGGAACCTGTGACATGTCCCAGAAAGCTGCGAGTGAAAGGAGAGGGTGGGTGGTGAAAGTGGGAGCAGATACCTGTGAAAACTAGGTACCTACTCCCTCCCCCCAAAAAAAAAAGGATATGCCACATGTCGTAGAGGGGGATGGAGGGAGGGTTGACTTAAAGCAGAACTTCCCTTTTTAGGGGAAGTTCCACTTTAGTGTATACAGATCTATTCCATATTCTTCCATGAGTTAGTTAGTATAGGTTTTAGGAGGTAGGGGGCAGTTTTACCATTAGTTAGGTATATCACCGAAAACAAAAACATCCAATTCCGAGAAATCATAAACCAGTCATATATATCATGCTACATACGCAGTTCTTGGCTGTGTTTAAGGCCCCATGTACACGGGACACTTCTGAACAATGGAACTGACTGCTAGAAAACGTAAGTTAAAAAAAGTCTGTTTAGATGCGTTTGCATAACACGTTTATGCGCGTTTGCGTTTAGAAGCGGTTTTTAAAGATAAGCACAGGAGAACCTCCTAAATGCCCAGAATGCACTGAAAAGGGGTAAATTATTAACTATTTCAGACTGTGTCAGAGAAATACAGAGTAGAAGCAGAGACAGCAGTATGTGTTGAGATAATTAGGTGTGAGTTGCTCATTAACATTTCTTTTGTTTCCAAGGGTGGTAAAGGTGGCTGGTGGAGTGAGTCATTAAGGCCACCTGGCAGTTGGTCTTCATGAGGAATTTGAGGTGTGAATGGTCATTAACATATCTTTTGTTTCCAAGGGTAGGAGAGGTCTGAGGTGTGAATTGGTCCTTACAATGTGTGACCAGCTTGGTAGGAACATCCTGTGTCCAGTGTTTTGTCCATCTGAATACCCCGAAAACACTTTGCATGCATTTTTCATGATGAAAAAAAGCTCTGGACAGCATTGGGAACTGGAAGAGTTAAAATAAAATCAAAAAGCAAATGCTTATAAACGCGATTTGCCGCGTTTACAAGCGTTTGGAACGCTGATAAAATCGACTGCTGAACACAAGTTTTCTGTGTTCAAAAAAAAGACTGTAAACTCAAATGCCTGTAAACGAAGATGTGTACATGGACACATAGGAAAACATTAGAGTGAGTTCAGGGGCTGCTGAAAAATGCTGAAACGCGAGTTTATCAGCTGCAGTGTACATGAACTCTAAAAATGTCTGACACATATTCCATGGTGCAGCCTCTTACTTTGTGAATTGCTACAAAGTTAAAATATCATAGCATGATCACTGGGGAGATTTATTTGTGTACACAGGGGCAGCCATATTTTTACATTACATACACAGACTCTAATATCTGCTCTGCAGTGCAACACAATTGCTATGTTTTAGTGCTGCTTTGTATGGACCCTTTCACAAGGGCGTTCCGTCAGTCTGTTTTTCAACTGGACAGCAATTAATTTCTATGGACAAACTAATGTAAACAGATGATCATCTGGTTGCATCCGTGCCCATGCGGTTCCATTATTTTAAGCGGAACAGCCAATGTCCAGATTCATTGAAACGGCATAGAAAAGATGTAAATGGATGTTGTCCATTTACATCTGTTTCGCTTTTAGGCAAGAAACATTTGTTTATACAATTGTCATCTCTGATTGGTTTCTGCAACAAACTAAGAAAAAAGGATGCACAAATGGATGCAGACTGAACTGATGCGCAAACTTGAATAAACTGAACGGAATTGCACTGAAAACTGATATAAAACTGATGTAAACTAAAATTATTTCCTTTGAAAAAAACGTGACTGACTGCATGACACCCATGTGAAAGGGGCCTAAGGACCGTTTGGACCATCCATTACACTGTATGGAGCGGAAGATGTAAACGGACATGGGTCAGTTTACACCTGTCTGCATCCGATCTGCTAACAATAGACAGATAGGGGATTCATTTCCCATCCATCTAGTGGATTGGACGACAGTCGAACGTAAACAGACAGGTGGTCCGTTTACATTCAATCGCCTATAGAGGAAAGCCAGCTGTATCTGATCTGCATAAGCAGAGCAGACACAGGCCTATCACCCGCCTGCTCAGTGGAGATCAGAGGACAGATCACGCGCTGAATAGGTGGATCTACTCGTGGAATCTGCCTGTGTAAAAGTGACCTTAGTCTGAGATGGACAGCTTATGTACCCTCTTTGTGCCTTAAATGTTATTTCAAAAGTTGTTAAAATGAGTTTCCACAAAGCCACTGAGCATTCCCATTCATGGCTAATCTCCAAATCTCAGCAAAAAAAAAAATACAAGAGGAATCTTATAAAATATTAAGTCATATAAAAAATTACTTTTAGGCCAACACTTGTGGTACTAAAGCGGTATTAAACTCTTAATAAAACTTGTTTAACCTGGCCCCAATCAGGTTTATGTGATCATTTCCTAGAATGCATTAGCACATTATGACAGGCTTACCTGTCAAAGGAAGCCCTCCAGCATTGTGCTGTCACCACTCCCATCATTGCCTACTTTTTCTTCTGGTTCTGTCGCTTTGGCCGCTTGAATGGCCAATGCAGGATGATGCCACTCCTGTGCACGTGCACACACCCATGAAACACATAACCACTGCACAGATTGGGTACTATAAATGAATTCTAAGCATGTACGGCTCAGTGTGCATGGCAGCTTACAAGCAGGGGGAAGCATTTATTATTATACAGGATTTATATAGCACCAACAGTTTGCTCAGCGCTTTTATGACAGAAGAGACCAATAGGGTCTCTTCTATTATAAAACCTTATTAAAACGTGGGTTTAATACCACTTTGATAAACTCAAAAAATTTGTTTGCATATATTCCCTATGCTTTCCTCTTACGTTTATTCCATCTATTGTGAGGCTATTAATCTTTTGCTTTTGGGTTTTTCTAATGCTTTCGGCTTGTGTTATGCATTATTTTTAATAAATCATATTTAAAGTGTTACTAAACCCAGGATCCTGCACTCACTATCTGGTCTCCCACAGTACCAGAACATGGAAATGCAATTACTTTAGTAATAATAAACTGGTAAATACCTTTTCTCATCAGCAATTAGAGCAGACTTGTGACTTCTATCAGTGTCCAGCTGAGCACTGGTTAAAGCTTGTAGGAGTTTTCATTCTTCTCTCACTGCCCTATAAGATTGCATAATCCCTGACCCTCTATCTGGACAGTGCTGATTGGCCCTGTGCTGATCACATGCACCCTCCCAAAGAAAAAGAAAAAACTCTCTAGCAGTATACACCAAACTGAGCATGTGCAGAATGTCCCAGAGGCTGTGTTCTATCAGGAGATGAAATGGGGAACATGGAAGAAGGGGGGGGGGGATCAGAGAAGACAGGATCAAAAATCCTTTTTACACAATGCAGAGGATTAATCCCTTAAGTTCCACAGTGAGTATAACAGGCATGCTTTACTGCATGTACAGACTGATTTTACTGTTGTGGGTTTAGTAACACTTTACTAAGTAATCCACATTTACTTGCAAACCTGCTACTTATATAATCTTTTTTGAGAGTTGCACTTTCCAAGCAGCACAGTGAACATAAGTAATTAAAGGTAGATACTATAGATTTATACACCTATAGTACTTTCTTTCTTTATACAGTTGTGTTAGATTTATTGATTTTAGCAGTAGAGTGTCTATATTGATTATAGCTATACAGTTTCCCATCAACAAAGATAGATACACAGTAGATCTGATTCCTAAATGGTGATATCTCTGTCCATAAAAATAAATAAATAAATATAATAATACAAATAAATATAATAATAATAATAATATAAATAATGCTTTGGTTTTACTCCTTACCGAGAGCCCCTTGGCAGATGTCTGTCCTTGTAGCACCATCCACTATAAACTGAGGATTAGACACAAGTTGCTGTAAACAATAAAAAGAAGAAGAATTAGCACAATGAGAATAAAATAACTTAAAATATGATTGTATGTATGTGCATATTGTAGCTGTGATTAACCAGGCAAAGTAAAGACGTTAAAGCAAATGCTATATTTAATCACCTGCTATGCCATATGTTCAACCTTCACTGAACCTTGAATGCACTAAGGGCTCAATCACATGGGTGCCGACAGCCAGGTACCATGAAAAACTAGAGTATTTCTGTATTGGCAGTCACAGGTGTCTTATAGAGTGGTCTGTACAAATCAACGACAGGCTGTGATTAAATACTGGTAACTGCACATCCGAGTGTTTACTTGCGTACAGGGATGGATGAGCGGTCCTGTACGCAAATGTCTGTGTCCAGGGGTGCACTCCTGTCCCTGTACACAAGTAAATGCTTACATGTGTGGTTACCAGTGTACAGTCGGAAATCATTGATTTGTCCAAACAGCTAAATGCAAACATCTGTGACTGCCGGGCCAAAAAATAGGCTTGTTTTTCACAGTATACGGCTCTCCATGTGAATCAGCCCTTAAATGTAAACCTATCTTTGAAAACATTCTAACTAGACTTCTGTTTGTACATAATGGACTTTTTTTTTTTCAACCTATGTTACTACTTAACTTACATGTTACCAATTCTCTTTTTCACATATATCTTTTTGCTGTTATAGAAGTCAATGAATATATGAAGTATACTTTGTCTGAACACAATGAGCATTTTTTTCACGCTATGTAAAATTTGTTACCAATTTTCTTTTTTTGCGTATCTTTTTCCTGTTATTGACATGAACGACTATATGAAATATATGAATACGACATATAAATGAGACAAATGATATGAGTCACATGTATATCCTCGTAAAAACAACACTTTGCTTATCATAGCCATAACAATTTGCTTAAAATAATACCAATAATGAAACACATAGTAATAAAAAGGTCTAAATAAATAAAAATTCTATGGAGTATCTTCCACAACTGTAGTAGAGTGAAAAAGGATAAAGTCCACCACATAGATCTTTTTTAGGGAAAGTCTCTATAATTCATATAGTTCCGCTCCAACACATTCCTTAAGTGACAATCTCCCCATCAGACTACACACTCACCAAAACATGGTGTTAATTAGGCACAATATCCTCCTCTTGGTCCCCCAATCGCCACCACAAATAATGGGTCCAATCAGTCCAGTTCACAAATCTTTTCCAGCCAGATTGCACAGCAGTCAGTAAACTTCTGTTCTCTGCCCAATGTTCAGGAAGCAGCACATGGTCAATGGCTTCAGCTCATCTTTGAATCTCCCGACTTCGTATCAACTGACTGCTGTGTGATCTGGCTGGAAAAGATAGTTGTACCTAATTAACACCATGATTTGGTATGTAGTCTGATGGGGAGATTGTCACCTAAGGAACACGGTGGTGTTGGAGTGGATCTACAGTTGTGTTCAAAATAATAGCAGTGTGTTGAAAAAAGTGAATAAAGCTCAAAATCCTTCTAATAGCTTTTATTTCCATACACACAAATGCATTGGGAACACTACACATTCTATTCCAAATAAAAAAACATGAAGAAAAATATATCAAATTTGTGTTGTTCCTCTAAAAAAAAAGTGACTATTAGACTGTTCAAAAAAATAGCAGTGTTTGTATTCTTCTTTACAAACTCAAACATTCACTATAGAAACTGAAAAATGTTTGAAGATTTTGCTTTCCTTTGAATCAATTAATATTTAGTTGTATAAGCACTGTTTCTGAGAACTGCTGTACATCTGTGTTCATGGAGTCAACCAACTACTGGCACCTGTGAACAGGTATTCCAGCCCAGGATGATTGGACTACATTCCACAGTTCTTCTCTATTTCTTGGTTTTGCCTCAGAAACTGCATTTTTGATGTCACCCCACAAGTTTTCTATTGGATTAAGATCCGGGGATTGGGCTGGCCACTCCATAACGTCAATCTTGTTGGTCTGGAACCAAGATGTTGCACGTTTACTGATGTGTTTGGGGTCGTCTTGTTGGAACACCCATTTCAAGGGCATTTCGCCTTCAGCATAAGGCAGCATGACCTCAAGTATTCTAATGTATTCAATCTGATCCATGATCCCTGGTATGCGATAAATAGGCCCAACACCATAGTATGAGAAACATCCCCATATCATGATGCTTGCGCAACCATGCTTCACTGTCTTCACAGTGTACTGTGGCTTGAATTCAGTGTTTGGGGGTCGTCTGACAAACTGTCTCCGGCCACTAGACCCAAAAAGAACAATCTTACTTTCATCAGTCCACAAAATGTTGCGCCATTTCTCTTTAGGCCAGTCAATGTGCTCTTTGGCAAATTGTAACCTCTTCAGCAGGTCTTTTTTTCAACAGTGGGACTTTGCGGGGGCTTCTTGCAGATAGCTTGGCTTCACATAGGCGTCTTCAAAGTGTAACAGTACTCACAGGTAACTTTAGACCTTCTTTGATCTTCCTGGAGCTGATTGTTGGCTGAGTCCTTGCCATTTTGGCTATTCTTCTATCCATTCGAATGGTAGTTTTTCGCTTTCTTCCACGTCTTTCAGGTTTTGGTTGCCATTTTAAATCATTTGCGATCATTTTAGCTGAGCAGCCTATCATTTTCTGCACTTCTTTATATGTTTTCCCCTCTCCAATCAACTTTTTAATCAAGGTACACTGTTCTTCTGAACAATGTCTGGAACGACCCATTTTCCTCAGAATTTCAGAGAGAAATGCACTGTAACCAGCACTGTACAACATTTGCTGCCTTCCTTCCTTAAATAAGGGCAATAATTGCCACCTGTTTTTCAAAGAATGAATGACCTCACTAATAGAACTCCACACTGCTATTATTTTGAACATGCCCCTTTCAATTAGTGATTCAATTACACAGAATCAGCAGCATGCATGTCATGACTGTTGGGTCTGTTGGATTTCTATTACTCTACTACACCTGCTAGTAAATTATTTGCCATGTAGAAATATAATTTCTACCAAAAACAGTGATTGATCAGGTTAGTGATGTCTGACTGCTATTATTTTCAACACAACTATATATGAATTATAGAGACTTTCCCTAAAAAAAGATCTATGTAGTGGACTTTATCCTTTTTCACTCTACTACACTTTGGTGGAAGATACTTCATATAACATTTATTGATTTAGACCTTTTTATTACTATGGGTTTCATTATTGGTAGAATTTTAAGCAAATTATTATGGCTACAATAGGTAAAGTGCTGTTTTTATGAGGATATACTTGTGACTCATAGAATTTGTCTTGTTTGTTTATTGAAAACAGCAACTCATTGGGTTAATATCTCATAGCCTTGATTCAGCAGTACGTAAGCGTGTAGTTTCCACTCAGAAAGTGATAAGTTGTTTAGGATATATAGATGATCTACAGATTCAACATGGATTACCATAACATTTTCATTAACAAAGATGTGTACATACAAGTATGAAGGACATTTGATAGACTTTGCAAAAGTGTCTACAATTCACATATAAAGATTGTAATAATAAAAAATGTATCTATTGGCCATCTGTATGATGGCCAATATGAAGATTGAGGTTAAAAGGGTAAAAAGAAAGTAGGCAATAAGAGTGGGCAGTAAGGGGATGTCGGTGCAGGGAAGCCAAGAAGGTATGGGTATGGGGAGTGTGGGAGAGACAAAGAAAAGTGGAGGGGGTGGAAAGGTAGATTTTCTGAATGCAAAAAACCCTGCTGGAGTCGCCTTCTCCATAGGCACAGTTTATCCAGCAGAGTGCCTAGACTGAATGGTTTTTCGCGCAGAGAGAGAGGGTGTGATTGGTTGAGAGAAGCAGGTGAAACAAACAATCTGTTTGTAGTCTTAACAGATTCTGAATTTGATCCAGCAGTCCCATGTGTGAACAACATGGTACATCATAAATCCAAAATATTAATGACTATTTGATTGCTTTCATCAAATATGACAACTGACTCACAAATCTTGAACAACATGCAATTACTTCCTTAGCTGTGCAGTATCTTCCTTCTGGGAAATGAATCCACTCATATATTATAAACACACTTATGCAATAGTAGGTAGGATGCTGCTTTACATAGAAGGACAGTTCTTGCTCATTTACAAATCTCTGATGGGAAAACAAAGATTTGGCAGTGTGCAGTTACTACATGTTCCAACGTCTCTTCTCCATCATCTCTGATCATATAGATGTCTGTAGATGTATATTAACCAAAGCAAAAAAAGTCTCCTCTTCCACTGACTATATTTACATAATGAACTAAAGTAGTATGGTCGCAGACAAAGGATTTCCCAGCAACACTTACCAGCCAGCCTGCAAAACAACCAATTTGGCCCTGTCTAACAGTTTGTGTTAAAAACAGAGGGTTTTGTATGCACACATTTGCAAATACATGCGTAAGCCACAGTCCCGCATCAAGGGTCCTCTGTATACTGTGGACCTAACTCTATAATTTCCAGAGCCTCCATAGTAGGAGTACATATATTAATGGATAGGTTAAGGTTCAGGTATGCCTAGAGGAGCCCATCCCTCCTTAAAGGTAGAGGGACACACGTGACGGCCAGCTATAGCAAAATTACAGTAAAGGCACCCAGTGCATCTCTGCATCCAAATTAGCCAATGCCACGAAAAAAAAAAAGAATGGGCTCCTCCAGCCACACCTGCCTTTAACCTATCCATTGATATGTGTGCTCCTACTATGGAGGCTCTGGAGATTTTAGAGTTAGGTCCACAGTATACAGAGGACCCTTTACACGGGACTGGGGCTTTTGCATGTGTTTGCATTAAAAACAGAGGGTTTAGTTTGGGCACATTTGTAAACTGTTAGACAGGGCAAAATTGGATGTTTTGCAGGCTGGCAGGTAAGTGTTGCTAGGAAATCCTTGGTTTGTTTGCGATGTGCATTGCCCTTCCATGTGAACCTGCCAAGACTGGTTATAGATTGGGACGGTTGCCATTTTTTTTTGTAAAGTAG